CAAGAAGGACAACCTCTATCATCGCAGTTCTGTCAGTATGGGAACCAGAATTGGAGGATTCTGGGGCGTGCTCAATGAAAGATGAAAATTTCCCAGAGAATTAAAATAACTGGAGCTCATTAGATTTGGACATGTTTCACTTGATAGGGCAGGACCAAATGGCTGAATGTTCACTGGGACAGTGTACTGGATTTTAAACTACTTACTGAACAAAATATGGACAAGAAACAGTGAAGACATTAGGGGTGGGACAGTTTGGTTCGTATTACGGTTCGGTGGTCACAGGTTTTGGCTTGATTTGGTTAACATTGTAAACAAAAATCTCCTATCATAACACTTAAATACTATTTAGAATTACTATACATTGTTATAAGCCTTAAAATCCACCGCATACATTATTTTAAAAAGTTAGGCTTAAAGTTGGTCTTAAAGTTTTCATTTAAGATTTACTTGTTGACTAATGGTATTAATGATAAACTGCTTCAAGTGGCTGAAATTATTGTTCGATATAAGCCAGTAATGTGGTAAAAAAAAAAAAAAAAAAAAACACGTTTAGTGGAGTACTGAGTTCCAGTGTTTCACTGGTGTGCATTAGATCACTACTTTAAATGCTGCAATTCATCTAGTCCAGCATCATGGAGAAGCAAGAAATACAGACAGCAAGAATGTGGCAGAAACACTTTATCCATTATGAAACATTGCTATTCCTATTTGTGTAAGGTTAGACCACAAGTGGACATTGATTATTTGTTCATGCTTTGAGAAATGTGAATGGCATCCAAAAAAAAAAAAAAAAACTCGCATGAGATCCCCCACTGTGTTCTACACTGCCACACAATCCTTTTAATAGATTATGACAAGGGAACCCAGGAAAATAAAGTCCAGGTTCTTTTGGTGATTAAACATAATTTTATAATTGTTTTTGAACACTGAATACATTACATGTAGATAGAATATGTTGTGTCACTACATGTGTTTTCATGCTTGTGTGTGATGCCAGCATATTTTCATCAGAGACAATATTTTATTTTCAGCATTGTCTTTTTATGGTTTTAGATATTTCCTAAAACATAATCCATCTCAATGGCTCATTAGGACAACCAGTCTTATCTATGAGATTCAGTTTGGCAAAAGCCTTCCAAGTTCAGGGGTGTGTATTTACAACTGTGAGTCCCACAGCGGGCCCTGTTTTGCAAAGGAGATTGATGCATGATACATGCAGTTCATCTACCAAAGGAACTCAGTAGTGCTACAGAAGAAATGGAGACTCCACCCTGACTTGGTACAGCTGATATAGGAGCGATTCTGGGAAGCCTAGGTCAACCTGTTGAATTTTTCTGAATCCACCCTTTGCCATTGGTTTGATTCTCTGACCGAGGTCACCTTCGGCACAGATACACTTGCACACATCTGACCAAAGAACCTACGCAAATATCTGTTTCCCCCAGTGAGACTACTTGCAAGGTCAGGGAGGACAATTAGCAGGTCTTACTAGTTAAGCTTCACCTGGGCACTTTTTGGCATCTCCATCTGGATCAATGAAACATCCACGTGTTGTCCATAGACGGGACATAAAAGAGATAGGTGACATACAGCAGTGTCACACCCTCACTCAGGCTAAAGCTCCATCTACAACAGTAGTCTTTACCCTTTTTTATCAAGGCGAAGTGCTGGGTGACCAACAACCGTTTTCTCAGAGGAAGACAAGCTGACAAAATATTGCTGTCACTCTGATACAAGTTTTATTTATGGAAAGCATTGCAAAGTACTGCAGTGTTTGGGTGTTCTATGTTTGTCTCTGATAATTAACCTTACAGAAATGTGTATATTTCATACAAGCTGAAGCTGATCGGTCAATTCTTGTCTTGATGTGCGTCTGCTCTGAAAGGCGTGCACCTCCGTGCAAGTCGCGCACCTCCATTGGAAACAAAAAACTTTACAAAACTCTAGAAAAGACTTGATATGCAAATTGCTAAAAAAGGGGCGCCGTCATTTGGGATCTCCATTAGTTGATCTTGTTGCACAGCCATGCTGGATTCACTTGATTTGTTGACAATTGGGTTGCGGATCCATTCCTTGGCAGTTCGTGGGTCCTTTACTGGGCCTTTTCCCTTAGCAAAGAAACTTTCCAAAGAAACAAGTCTGTTTCTTACTCATTTTGCTGCTTGAGGGTTAAATTTTGCCACTCAAGTGACCAAGATGTAACCTCGAGTATTCTGTATTTTTTTTTAAATAAAACACATTCAAAAATCGTTCAGATTGTTCAGACTCAGATAATAAATAAAACTGAAATAATTCATGATTTCTTGTGCGGCCCAGTACCAATTGATCCATGGACTGGTACTGGTCCGTGGCACGGTGGTTGAGAATCACTGATCTACAAGGCATGTCAATGCTCTGAAGTGGTCTAGAACATTTTAAATAATGTTTTTGTTTAATAAAAGTTGCATGTATACAGGGTGACACAGTGGTTAACACTGTTGCCTCACAGCAAGAAGATCGAGGGTTCGAGTCCAGGCTAGGCCGTTTGGCATTTCTGTGTGGAGTTTGCATGTTCTCCTCGTGATCGAGTGGGTTTTCTTCCAGGTGCTCCGGTTTCCCCCATAGTCCAAATTATGCAGTATAGGTAAATTGAATAAACTATATTGGCCGTATTGTATGAGTGTGTATGGATGTTTCCTTGTACTGGGTTTCAGCTGGAATGACATCTGCTGTGCAAAGCATATGCTGGATAAAGGCTGGTTTATACTTCTGCGCCAAGTGATCGTCGTTACCCACATCGCATGCAACGCGCGTGGCTGTGCATTCATACTTCTGCGCGTTGTTTTTGTTACTCTGCAATAACACTTCCGAAACGCTAGCTGGCAGTAGGTGTATATGTTCTTCTGTTTCGAGTTTCTTCGCTAGAGTTTAGTTATTTTTGAACACTTCCTTAATGTACATTTTGAGGCAGGAACCTGCGGACGTGCAACAACTTTAACCATAAGGTAAACACAAAGCAACAGTCTCTATCTGGAGCTCCATGTAAACAGTCAACCCTTGTAAACAGACGCTCCAACAGACTCGCGTGGCTCTCGGTCCCGCCCATCACTCGTCAGTGCTTCCAAATCGACCAATCACAGAGTTTGCGCTACACGTCAATGCAATGTGTAGTTACAATTTTTGAGAGGTGCGCGCCAGCGCCGCCGACGGCCACGGCGAGGGCTATGTGTCCACACGTAGGCTGCGCCCTTAGCATACACGTGCACTTGACGCAGTAGTATAAATTAGCCTTAAGTTGGCAGTTCATTCCGCTGTGGCACCTCTGATAAATTGGACTAAGAAGAAGGAGAATTAATGTGTATATACCCAAAAAAGGGGCACTAAAATGCACTTTATTTAAGTATACTTAGTACACTTTTCAGTAATGTTCTAAAAGTGCTCTATTTTCACACACTAATTTTGTACTTAATGTACTAAAAGATAGTATTTAGTATATGTTAAGATAAACTTAATACCATCTAAGTGTACTCAATTGTGCTATTTTGAGACACCCTGAAATTGAACTAAAATGTGCTTTTAACATACTATATCTGTGTTTAAAAATATATATATTTAGTTACAACTAGAAATACACTTGAACCCTAATTTGAAACATTTATAAATATATTTAAGAATAGCTTAAAGCATAATAGTAATATATTAAAAAAATATACAAATTGTAAAAAAAAAAAAAGTGCGAAATACTGTATTAAAAGTATTTTGGGAAAATGTACTTCTACAACAATACATTACTAATAGATTTTTAATAAAGTCATCTTAATGTAAACTTAAAATCACCACACTCAAAATCAATTTAAGTGTTAGTGATAATAATGCATTCACATTAAGTATACTTAAGTACAACTTTTGGGAAAATGTACTTCTACTACAATACATTACTAATAGATTTTTTTATATATTACCTTATTTTAAACTTAGGATTAGTATGTAAACAGTGTACTAAAATTCAACTAATGTTTAAAGCATTTAAAGCACACTTTTGAAAAACACACACTTTTGGATGTTTCTTTTTTGTAGTGTACTTTATTGTAGTACACTAAAAAATTATTTAAGTATTACTGGTATTTAGTATACTTTTGTCAAGTGTACTAAAGTCCTACTGAAGTATAAAGATACTTTTAATTTGTATATTTATAGTGTAAAACCATCAAACTTGTATTTAACACAAAAAAATAACAATGTACTAAAAATGTATTTGCGGGTATTTAAGTGTATTTTAATTGCATTTAATTATGTATTTTTTTTTTTCACCTGGGTATACAGCTATATTTAGTTGGTTTTGACATTACTGCATTCAAAATGTGTGGCTTAAGAAATTATAAGTTTAGTGTGGCCAAAGAAAAATGTGTAAATCTTTAGTGTTGAGCCCTGAAATGACATGTGAAAATGAATTGCAATGTGACACTATGAAACCACAGGCCATTTCCTAATGCACATTGAGCAAGGTCTAGCACAGCACACAAAAAAGTTAAACAAATGAGGAGGCGTGTGAACATAACATTTAAATCATGTCATTTTAGCATGCCAAAGTCAAATGTATGATAAAATATATTCTCCCAACAACAAATCTGTAGCTAGCATCGGAAAACTACTAGCGACAGTGGCTGGTGATTAAGACAGTTAATGTCAAACCCTGCCAAAAAAAATCTGAAATCCATATACGCATTACTAGCATAACAAAAGAGAAAATCTATTCTGCTCAAATCCAGAATGTACGCTTGTTCTCTTTTTAGTTCTCCTTCCTTTTTCACGTTGTATTTTTTCTCACACTTGTGACTGCAAACAGCCACAAGTGAACTCACACACGCACACAGTTGTTTCCCATCTGCAGAGCTCTTCCTGTCGTGCCGTGGCTGAGGTGGCTACTGCAGACTCTCCACACACGCTCTCACGAGCTGGCCAATCTGCTGCGCTCCTTCTTTTGTCTCTCTTTCACCATTGTTCCCTCATTTCCTTACCTGAGGTGCAGGAGGCAAGCACGCTCGTTCTCCAGCTCTGAAAGGGCTGTCTTTTTCTCCACCCTCATGCTCTCCATCTCACGCGTGACCACGCACAGCTGCAGGTCAAGGGCCCTCAAGCTGGAAGAGAGACAAAGGGTCAGATCTACAGAGAAAGTAGCAACGGCACAATAATTATTATGTTGAGTTTTTTTTATGGAACAATATTGTTTGTGTGGAAACATTTCATTTCATGTTGATTTTCCAAATATAAAAAGGCTTTCTTTTTCTCTCAATAAAAGTTCAATGGCAGGAGAGCGGCCCAGCCACAGAGCAGGAGGTTGTGTTACGCTCTGTTTGTGTGGAGTTTGCGAGACTAAATGAAACACAGACTTCTGTAGTGCAGATATACAGGCTGCAGAGCATTATGGGCTTTCGTGGCTCTCACACAGACAAGGTCACTATAGCAACAAGAGAATACACACCAACACTGAGTAATCCCTGACATGATGTGGTTTATTAAACCTAAAGCAATGGCGGCTATAGGGGCACACTATATGTTTACAGTTGGAGGGCAAGTGATTAGCCCTTTTTTGAAATATTTTAAAAATATTTCCCAAGTGTTGTTTAAGGGAGAGAACATTTTTCAAACGTAATAGATTTAACAACTAATTTCTAAATATTGTTTGTTATTTAGGGCGACACAGTGGCGCAGTGGGTAGCATGATCGCCTCACAGCAAGAAGGTTGCTGGTTCGAGCCCCAGCTGGGTCAGTTGGCATTTATGTGTGGAGTTTGCATGTTCTCCTCATGTTTGTGTGGGTTTCCTCCGGGTGCTCCGGTTTCCCCCACAAGTCCATAGACATGTGCTATAGGTGAATTGGGTAAGATAAATTGGCTGTAGTGCATGTGTGTGGATGAGAGTGCATTGGTGTTTCCAAGTGATGGTTGCAAATGAAAGAGCATCTGCTGCGCAAAAAATTTGGATAAGTTGGCGGTTCATTCTGCTGTGGCAACTCCTGATGAATAAATTACTAAGCCGAAATTAATGAATGTATTTATTTATTTATTTTTTTGTCTTTGTCATGATGACAGTAAATAATAATTCACTAGTATTCTGCAAGATATTCGTATTCAGCTTAAAGTAAAATTAAAGTCTTACTGCAGTACAATAATTAGGTAACTTTGGTAAATTGGGATAACCAGGAAAAGTCAGTGGACAACTTAGTTCGTTCTGTAGCTCCTAATGGGGCTTATACTATTAAATATGTCTAATCTGTGCTTCCTACAGGTTTAAAATAGATTGGCTATGTTGTTTTACCCACAGCATGTATAGTTGAAGTCAGAATTATTAAACCTCCAGAATTATTAGCTCCCGTTTATTTTCTCCCGAATTTTTAACGGAGAGATTTTTTTTCAACACATTTCTAAACATAATAGTTTCAATAGCTTACTTCTAATAACTGATTTATTTTATCTTTGCCGTGATAAAAGTACATAATATTTGACTAAATATTTTTCAAGACAGCTTAAATTGACATTTAAAGGCTTGACTAGGTTAATTAGGTTAACTAGGCAGGTTAGGGTAATTAGGCAAGTTATTGTAAAAATGGTTTGTTCTGGAGACTATCGAAAAAATACATATAGCTTAAAAGGGGCTAATAATTTCAACCCTAAAATGTTTAAAAAATATATATAAATGCTTTTATTCTAGCTGGAATAAAACAAATAAGACTTTCACAAAAAACAAACAAAAAAAAACTATTATTTACAACGTAATAATCATTACTCTTGAGTACTTTTGAAATGTCTACTTTTTTACTCATACTTTGAGTAATATTTACAACAGATAATTTTACTCAACTCGCACTACATTTTTAGGCAAGTAGTGGTATTTTTACTTAGGTATGATTTTTCAGTACTCTTTAAACCACTGGAATCATTATGTTAGTTTGAGGGATATCTATAAGCTAGTATGCTTTAAAACATTGACAAAATTTGAATTTAGATGATATAAACCCGATATAAACATTCAAAGCTTGCATTTCGTCATTTCTGCCTAAATAGATCAATGTGTGTATGTTTTTTTTTTTTTTTCATGTCACCTCATACTTCTGATCTCATCAATTCTTGACCAATTAAATGCTCTCTAGTATCTGACATGCCCTGTCCCCTTCAAAGTGCTTCTCAATTATTTTTCACTCTCACTGACAGAGCTGTGGTAAAAACAAAACACTATTAGCTGTTTTTAAAAAGGGGAGCAGCTACTCAATGTCCTGCCCTCTCCTCATGTTTCAGACTGAGATTATGTCAAACACTAAATAAAAAATGCACATTTCAAACTTCACTTTATGGGAAGAATTAGTCAAATTCATTAATCAAAACTATTACTGAGCATTTTTACTGCAGTTCAGCAGCATCTAAATATGCATTCTGAAATCTCCCATTGCTACATGTACAATGGCAACGCTTCATGTACAATGGCAATGTTTATAATTTAGAGTTTAAAAGGTGTGACATAGGGCAGTACTTAGTCATTGGTGCTGTATGTGGGTATACAGATTAAAAATGTATTCAGCACCACCCAGAAGAGGCTGTTTAAATGTACCTTTTGTTAGTTTAACATATGTATTGTGAAAATGTCCATGTATGTTGGTAATTAATTTAAATACTTTCAAATTCAAAAAAGTCACCAAACACCTGTATACTGTTGAATATAAGTGTTCATGCACATTTATATATAGAGTCTTATCACTCTTACTGTGATTTTTCATGAGTTTTTCAACAAATGTCAGAAGATTCTATAGACTTGACTTCTATAGTATTTATTTTTCCTACTATGGAAGCCAATGGTTGCAGATTTTTAGCTTTCTTCAAAATATTGTGTGTTCAACAGAATAAAAAAACTCAAAATGTTTTGGAACCACTTGGGAAAGTGAGTATAAAGTCATTTTTGGTTGAACTATCCTTTTAAAGCTTTATACAACTTTGAATACACATGAGTCAGTGCTTTTCCATTGAATATAATTATAATTTAGCCTATATTCTTACACATCCACAACACAACTGCTGGCTAGTCACTTCTTGATTAAATTGTTTTCTCCATCACTTCTGTTGAAAAGATTTAACAAGTCAATTTATTAATTTGATCAAATGTGTGCATCTCTGTGTCTGAATGACTGAGAATATGGTTAAAGTACAGCTTTTCATTCCAGGGCTCATTTCTGAGTTTATAAATGAGCATATAAAACAATTTCTGGTGAATCTTTGAACTTACCCAAGCAGCATACTTACTATGTAGATATCCCAGAACAATTTATCATAATAAGTTGATAAATATTTACAACATTTATAACATGAGAATATATTTTTATTTAAAGGGGTGGTCCAGAGTGTACTTTTAAGGCTTGGTTGTGCTTATAAGACGCAAAGCAATGAGTGCTCATGTTTCATTTGTAGAAAATCACGTTATGTTTTCATATATCTTCATATATCTTCATATATATAGTCTGCTTAAATTTGTAAACCATTAAGTTAACTTAAGCAGTTTGTGTTGGGACAAATTGTTGTAGTCCAGCTACCTGGCTAGGGGATTTGTAGTTCCCAGAATGCTTTGCATTGGATTGAATTAAGACAGGGGCATGCTGACAATAAAAGTAATCTTAGGTTTTGAAAGTTAATAGAAAGGCTTGTTAGAGTTTAATCTTTTTTTTTTTTTTTTAGTTTGAGGATTCAGAAGATTTTCATGTAATGCTTTGAGTTTTGAGGTTACCACCTTGCAAAAGCAATTTTAATTTGCAAAAATGCAGTTTGTTGCTTTGCTCAGAGAGCAATAACTATCCTAAAATTAGTTCTGAGATCAGTCTCAATCAACTGCATATGTAACTCATGAAATATGCTTAAAAATGTATTTTAGTTAGTTTAGGATAACTCTAAACAAAACTGAGACTTTGAAATGTACGACACAATAGACATACAGTTGAAGTCAGAATTATTAGGCCTTCTTTGATTTTCTTTTTTTTAAATATTTCCCAAATGATGTTTAACAGAGCAAGGAAAATTTCACAGTGTGTCCGATAATATTTTTTTTCTTTTGGAGAAAGTCTTATTTGGTTTTTTTTCAGTAATAACAAAAGCTGTTATTAATTTTTTTAGACACCAATTTAAGTTCAAAATTATTAGCCCCTTTAAGTTATTTTTTTTTTCCGGAAGTCTACAGAACAAACCATTGTTATACAATAACTTGCTTATTTACCCTAACCTGCCTAGTCAACCTAATTAACCTAGTTGAGCCTTTAAATGTCACTTTAAGCTGTATAGAAGTGTCTTGAAAAATATCTAGTAAATATTATTTATTTTCATCATGGCAAAGATAAAATAAATCAGTTATTAGAAAAGAGTTGATAAAACTATAATGTTTAGAAATATGTTAAAAAAAATCTTCTCTGCGTTAAATAAAAATTGGGGTGGGGGCTTAAACAGAGGGGCTGATAATTCAGGGGGCCTAATAATTCTGACTTCAACCTTATATGACATTAGCAGACCTTTGAGTTTAAGTTAAATAAAAATACAAATGTATTCAAACATTTATTTGATAAAAATCATGATGGACCAACTCAATTGCATTTAATTGTGTAAATAGTTTTTAGTTGGTGCTAAACAAATTTTTTAAATGAAAATTTTGCCCTCAATTAAACAGAGTTCATCAAATTATTATTTTTTTTTTTTGAGTGCACATATCTTTTGCAAGTTTGTTATTTAAGATGTAGAATGCAGGGAAAGAGAGACATTGTACGCGCTGCTGAAGATTGTGTGTGTTTACAGCGGTTTGATGGATAAATATGAATTTGTAGCTAAATTTTTAATGGTGCCAAACAGCATTTCCCGTTGTATACATCCTTGTTTACGTCCTTACTAAAGCATACCATAACGATAGACACTAGGCATGTAATAGATCAAGTTTAACAAATGAAAATACTTACAGGTTATGGCTCACAACTCACAGCTTCTTCTATAATGATTGGAGATGCTCTTTCTTTGAGGAGTTTTAGCTGAATCCAGCACTGAACTGGGAGAGATTCTGGAGGCTGTCCTTTGTCAAATGCTAGCTATATTTACTTTATTATTGTCTGGAACATAAGT